TGTAGAGCCCTAGAAGGGGCTGTATCTTAACAAGGGATGCTCCAATGAAGTTTCTTTATATGAAAGATCCTAACTTTTTTTCGAAGAGGAATCACCTCCTTGAATGTTTTACACTTATTCAGTAACACCCTGTATATTCATTCTGAATGTATATTTTCATATATACCTTTATGAATACTACTATATATTATTTTGAATATTCATTTATTATTGTTTATGTTTGTTTTTATCTATTTGTAAATGAAATGAAAATCTTCTAGCAGAAAAGTATGTAATAATTGATTGACTAGAATGACAATACAATAATATAATTTTTTTTACGTTTTTCATGAAGTCATTGTGAAATACTAGAATTAATATTACTGTTGCTCGAAAATTAATATGTCAAAAATCGTTGGAAGTGTGTACCCCATGAAACAATCTGTAAGCAATATGTTTCTCTCTGAATTACATTTTCAGGTATCAATGCTTCTCTAAGAAGTTCCAATGAATCTTGAAGCGTACACAAAAGTACTGAAATAAAAACAAGTAAGGGTAGTGAAATCATTGACCAAACTTTATTTTCTTCAAATTCACTCCTCTAGGTCAACAAATTGATATAAAAAAAACTCCAAAACATTAGTAAAGCAGGAATCATTATATTTTTTTCCCGAAAATTCACCTAGTTGTTGGTGGGTTGATTCTACTGAGTTACATGGCTGGTGGCTCAGGGAATTATTGATATAACCTACTCAGAACACGAAGCTAATGACCTTAGTAATCGGTTTCATGACATTTTATTTATTCTCAACCATCAATGTATATTACTGGAGTTTAATCCCAGCACCTCGACACGTATTTCAATCACCAAGTGATCATCTTCAAGAGGAAGATTGAACTGTTCAATCTTCTTTTTATTGGAGTTCAATTCCATAACCGAACAGTTATTTTTAACACCTCGACACGTGTTTCAATCACCAATTCAATTTTATTGGAGTTTAATTGTAACACCGAACAGTTATTTTAAACACCTCGACACGTGTTTCAATCACCAAGTGATCATCTTCAAGAGGAATATTGAACTGTTCAATTTTCTTTTTACTGGAGTTTGATCCCAACACCGAACTGTTATTTTTAACATCTCGACACGTGCCTCAATCACCAAGTGATCATCTTCAAGAGAAAGATTAAACGTTTAATCTTCCTCTTGAAGATGATCACTTGGTGATTGAAGCACGTGTCGAGGTGTTGAAAATAAAGGTTTGGTGTTGGCATTTAACTACAATAAAGGTTCTAAACAGTGCATCTCAACCATCAATATTTACTTACTTGCGCTTTCTGAACCATGGACATCCGGACACGCTTGGTAACTCAGAAGAAGCTTGCTGTCTTCTGTGCAAGCCTCGATACTGGACACCGGAGATCTGCATTCGCCATGGCCTCGATTGTAGGTGAATGTGAAGGGTCCCCGGAAGGGACAGGGTATGGGGACGGCATTCTCTCTGAACATCGAGTACAAGAGAGCGTCTCCGGTGATGAGAGCGCAGAGAGTTGGAAGAGTTTCTCTACTGTGGCAATAGGCTGAAAGTAACCATTCTACATTACGGAAGTGGAAAGTTCTCTCCCTTTTGAATGGGACTAGATATCAAAGTCGGATAAAATTTACATAAAAAGGTATAATTTTCAGTACCTTTTGGAGAAAAAATAATAGTAACGTCACTCATTATATTTAAACAAGGCTTGATATCAAAGTCTGATAAAATTCATATAGAAGATATGATTTTCAGTATTTTAGATGGAAATGAATACTGTGACGCCACTCTTCACTTTTGAACGAAACTTGATATCAAATTCGTATAAAATTCATTCAAAAAGACATACTTTTCAGTACCTTTTGGTGAAAAAATAATAGTGACGTTACTTTTCTCTTTTGAAGAAGACTAGGTATTAAAGTTGGATAAAAAGGCATGATTTTCAGTATTTCTTGGTGAAAAATGATAGTGTGATGTTACTCTTAACTTTTGAACGAAACTTGATATCAAAATAGGAAGAAATTCATTCAAAAAGGCATAGTTTTCACTACCTTTTGGTGAAAAAACAATAGTGACATCACTCTTCACTTTTGAACAAGACTTGATATGAAATTCGCATAAAATTCATATAAAAAAGTATAATTTTCAGTACCCTTTGGTGAAAAACAATTGTGTGCCATTCTTTACTTTTCAACGGGACTATATATCAAAGTCAGATAACATTTACACAAAGAGGCATAATTTTCAGTACCTAGTGTGATGTTATTCTTCTTCACAGTTCTTAACTAATGATGTCTTCAGCAATGATATGTACATAAGATGTGGTTCTTTAAGAAGCGTCCACACTATGGCGAGGTTTGCCAATTTGCGAAGTCAGTCGGCAAAGCCGAATCGATGTAGACGTGGTGGTTGGTACATGCCAATAAGCCAATGAAATGCCAATGAAAATCGCTTAACTGTCAGTCACCTCCAAAGGAAGCCAATAAGAACTGAGAGTGGGCGAATTATTAAATTCTCGTCAGTGCACATTGTGCGACCAAACTAAATGAATGCCAACACATATGCAGACGTTTTAACAGTCGCTGGCTTTGCCAAAGGCAAAACGCAGCATAATGTGGATGCGCCTTTAGGCGTATCTCCCTGATCACCTGATATGACTTCCTTAGAATGTTTGGGTGTGTGTGTTCTTAATTATACACTACACAACCGTAGACCATTCGAAAACTGATATAGATTAAGAGGTGATTCCATGCAGTAAGGAAGGAATGGAAAATGGCGTTTCAAACATTGATTTGGATAAACTTAGATGGATTTTGAAAAACTTTTTATTGAAGTTATGTTTTTCATTTATATGGTTAATCTGATTTCTCAAAATAAACTAGTTTTGGATAGAGAATGGTTACACTATTATTTTTCTCTGTACTAAAAATGATTCCTCTTCATGTTAACTTCATTCAACAATGATATTGAACAGGGTTGCAAATGAAAAAGTTCGAAGTACCAAAAAATTTTTTTCTCCAAAGTTGTTTGACAAGAATTCATGATTGGTAGCCCAATTTCTACCAAATTAAAATATAAATCCTACGTTAATACTAGTTTTCCCTAATTAGGCCAGGCAGAAGTTCTAGAAAAAAGCGGATAGCATTGAAAAGCATGAGCAATCAACTGAAATGAGCCTTTTCTCGAATTCATTTTCACTCAGAGTTTGCTTCAATTTACAAAACAGGATCAGCAAATTGTTTGATATTTTGTGAACGAATGACATTGATGTCATCTATCAAATAAAAGCACAAACAACTAATGAATAATTAATACGAATTCCAACCCTGAAATCAGGCAGGTTGATATCCTGAGATGATTGACATATAGCGCCCGAACACGAGCTACATTTTGCGGTCGGATCGACCACACAATTGCAGTCGCGTTCCAGCGAACTCAAGCCGCCCATAAGAAATACTCTACTACACGTACACGGGCGTTCACAAAAGTCAAAACGGGCGTCTGTAGTCAACTTGCTGCTGATCTCCTCCTCTCCTCCTCCACTAACCACAAACTTGCAGTCGTACCCAACCGCGTACACCGTCGTGTACTTTTTCTCATATTGGTCTCATACCATTCAATTTTTGATGTCAGTTGCCTCGACTGCAAGTGCGGTTTATATGACCGCAAGTCGACCACAAAAATGTGGTAGGGTCAACCGCGAAGTGCAGTCAACGTGGCCACAATGTTGTGGTTGCCTCAACTGCAAATATGTGGTCCGTGTACGGCCGGACTTACATGCAATCATGGCGATAGAAGGTATAACCTCAGAATGACATTTCTAACTCGGGATTCACCGAACACAAAATAGCGTCAACAATTTAGATTAGGAGTATAGTTTTGACACACTGTTTTGGTTCAAAAGGCGGGGACTTTTAAAGTCCCTGCGTATCAGACTAGTTTCTCATGGAATCAAACTTGAGATTGAGGAATATAGAGAAAAAAATTGCAATCAACAAGCAAATCGTTACTTACTTTCTTTGTACTGTAGAACATTTATATGCTTTTCATGGATAACAACGCATCTGTAACAGGCTCTTTTTCTGGAAAATAAAAAAAGAGGTTTATTAGTGAGCATATTTCAGACACTCAGAGAAAGTCAATAGAATTATTTGAAATAAAAGTGTGTTGCAGTTTGACTGAGGTCTGTAGTTATTCATGTCATTTTGTTCACCTTTTTTATGTATGGGTATATAACTACGGCAGTTTCATTTGATCTGGATAGGTATTGGATAGGTATTCCATCTGTCGTTACTTTCGCTTGCATAAATCCTAATACGTTGTTTACAATCTCTCTGCTTTGTTAACTTTTTCTTCAGTTTACTGTTCTAAGCCATTTTCGAAAAGGAAAAGGTAACTCACAGTTCATCATACCGAATAATTTCTCCACTTCCTGTACTAATACGATGTTCGCTATACGAGTTCCTCGATGTTAATGAGTTTTTGCCCCATTTCGCTGGCTGATGTACTGCATATCGAATATGCTATAAGCTTTAGGTTAGGTTGGGTTAGGTCCAAAGTGAGTGGGTATATTTGACCCACTACCGCAACCCGCAAGGGTTTATTGTGGCTCACACATATTCACACTCAACCAAATAAACCCAGCTCCTTAACGAAGCCGATTAGTTTGTATGGTGAGTGGTCTTTCAGGTCAGATGGTGGAAGTACGGCTCTGCCCAACTCCAAAAACCTGATTCGTTCCCCAGCGGGGCAGGAACAAAATATGTGCTCTGATGTTTCATCATTTTCAGCGGCGACACAAACTGTCTTTCGACAGTCCGAGTCTCTGCATTTGATGATTCAAATGACAGTTACCTGTAAGAAAGTCTGTTAGACATCGTTTGTATCATGCTTCGAAGGGTGAATAAACGCCTTGGAGTGAGCCAATCCTGGAAGATTCTGCCAGAAGTCCATAAATCTCCTACGAGCTTCACTTTGTGAATGGAAAAAATCAGCTTACATAATAATGGCAAAGATTGGGTTTCTGTTTAACAAAATCTGTTTGAAATCTGCTTTTCTGTTAATCAGCTGTCGCCCCCATACGAACGACAACTCTCAGAAGTTGAGAAACTTGTGCGAGCTAAGGACTAACGAGGTCTTACCTTTTAACGTGTGATCCCTAACACGGGTACATCTGAATATTATTAATGCGCAACCCACCCAATAAAAACAATATGCAAATCTAGCCCCTATACTAAAGAAATTCGCTGTGTACAGAACTGAAAAACTGCAAATATATTTTCTCGACCCAGAAGAATATGAAAAATATTCCAACGATCTCGAGCAGTTTTCGTATTCGATAGATCTTCCGCTTCATTTCCTTGCCTACTTCGGTATAACTCGTATAACTACTCCGAAAGAGTCATTAATCTCTTATTTCTTTCAGAAAAAGAGTATATCGATCGAAAACGCAGATATTTCATGACAAATATGCCATATTATCTATCTCAGCTGTCTGTTCAAGACCCGTTATTCTATTTGGAGTTCATGAGCGTCCAGTTTTTTCCCACAGGGGGATTGAGTAGTGATATCAATTTGATAAGTGAAAGGCATTCGAATCTATTTACATGAAAACTTTTGAAGCACTGAAATAAATTCAACTCCACATTTCCAGCTGTCAATTTACCCACCTTCAATGGAGCAGCTTTCCGTTCGATACGTTTGCGAACTTTTCAGAACTGTCAATTAATTTTTTTTTCAATATAAGGTGGCAATAATCTGAATGTGAGGTTCTGTTACTACGGGTTGAATGTTTTATTGTATGTATTGTATGTTGTATGTTCGATAGGGAGACTCAACAAATTATCAATGGTCTGGATTTCTGGCCCTACAGGTCTGGAATCATCATCTGAATCATCATATGTAGATACTCGGATTGTCAGAAGACAGTGTGTGTCGTCTCTGTTTGGAAAATGATGAAACAGTAGAGCAAAATCTGTTCTGCTGGGGACCAAATCAGGTGTTTAGAGTACGGCAGAGCCGTACTCTTACCATCTCACCTGAAAGACCACTCACCATACAAACTAATCGGCTTCGTTAAGAAGCTGGGTTTATTTGGTCGAGAGCAACCCTTGCGGGTTACGATTGTGGATAGAACAGTCCAACTCACTATTGACCTAACCTGATCACCTACATAAATGTCAGTGTTGCTGCATTTAGCAGTACTAATTGAAAAGCATTTCTGTTCAGTGACACAATTCCCTGATAAAAAATCATTAAGTTTAGTCAGACTATTAGAAATAATACAAAATGCAAAATATAGTGTTACTCGCTATAACAAAATATAGTGATGGCATGTATTTGTGTATAAGTCTCTCTTACGTATTTGTTTATTGTGTCTCATAGAAATATTCAACTGATTCATCATTCACGAGTATCTTTGTCTCTAGCAAAAGTGCTGGAACCGCTCCTGTGCTGCAAACCACTCATGGAGTTATTTCCATTCGGCTCATAGTAAAAGTGAACGTTATAGAAGCGTAATATATTTATTTCCATCAGTTTATGAGCTGAGCTTAGTGAAATGCCGGTTTCATGGACGTGAAAAGAACTCTTGGAATTCTTTGCGAAGTGCTGCCTCATTTAACACTCTGGCTGGCTCTTTCTCGACTCACAAAAGATCAGAGAGGATATTTTTTAGCGAAGGCATACAGCATACATACGCAATACCTTCTTGCAGCTTTTCAACCAACCCTTTCTGCTTTAGAAAGTTTTTACGTGTGAGGATCTAGTGGAATCAATAGTGATTTTTAGGAATTTGTACAGGGCTATTCAAATTCGAGTTTGAGGATCTCGTTGAGATCCTTAAACTCGACAAAGATTTCATTTCATAAACTGAAGGAATAGAAGCCAAGAGGGAAGTTTAAAAAAATCAGTTTCACTTCAAAGCAATTTTTGGCTGAGTTTATTGTCTTGTGAAACATCTGGCGTGAAATGAATTTTTTGAAAACACTTACCAAGTAAGCATCATTACGAGATGACTAAGATCTTAGTCATCTCCTGATGATGCTAACTTGGGTGGCGAAACGCGCGTAGAGAGACAGTAATTTTGTTCTAGCGTGGAAAAAGTATTTTTGATACGGTCCTTCTGGATATTTTGCTAATAAAGTTGGTGTATATCAATATCTAGATCAGTTTTTCATAAGCCTCTGGTTTTCTATCCCAAATTTCTTTCGATATTGAACTAATTATTACACAATACAATTGAAAGCTGCTATGATATTTGATGATGAAAAAAATTATACTAAGACGTGGCAAAGACAAAGGTGGGGATGTACGTATTAAGTCCATTTCAGATCTTTACGTCCATAGACCAATCAGGGACGTACTTAATACGTACTACGTACATCCCAGTTCTTACTACGTACATTTTAGTACGTTCTGGGTTCGTCCAGGTATGTTCGTAGGTAGTATATTCATTTAAGTACGTACTGGGTATTTCAAGAAATATAAAGTCCCGTTACACACTTTTTAGTAGGTTTGAAAATGCATTTTTCAATATAAAGTTATATTTGATATGCTTTATTTGGAGTGTGATTCCTGCAAGACTCTTCATTACTTTTATTATGATTATTTATGAGCTTGGGTGACCCAGGGGAGATTATTTTTAAACAACGTGGAAGGATTGCCAAACTGATACAGAGATTCATCCTGTTCAGTCAACAATATCTTGTAGGCAAAAGTTCTGAAAATGAACCTTTTGGAGTGTATGAAGGATTCTTATTCAAAACTTCTGGATTATTATTTGTATTTTTAGCGAAACTCCACATATCATCTTATTGTATAGTATATTATTTTTGTGACAACTGTAGTTTGTGGAACCTTGTAATAACTATTTACGATATAAGTGTTAAAAGTAAGGTTTTATTTTGTGAGTGAAAAAGTTTGCGAAACAAGCGTAGCGAGTTGAACAATTTCACGAACAAAATAAAACTTACTTTCAACACAAATATCACACAAAGTATTTTGTA